AAAAAACTAATTGCAAACATAATCTCAATTTTTTTAAAAAAATGCAAATGAGTCCCAAATAAATTATTAAAGGATAATTAGCACATAACGTCCACATCTTTCACCGTTATTGTGGAACACGTCATTACCTTTCCTTTTTTGACCCTTATTTTCACATTTCATTGCTTAAAAGATCTTTTTAACCTCTTTCTCAATTAAAAATTGTGAAATAACGAATATAACATTCTCTTTAAATAAAATAAAAAGAAAAAAATTAATTGCAACCATAATCCCAAATATTTTTAAAAAGTGCAAATGAGTTCTAAATAAATTATTAAAGGGTAATTAACACATAATATAACAATCTTTCATTATTATTACGAAAAATGTCCATACTTTTTTTATTTTGATATTTTCACATTTACTTACACATTTGATTGGGCAAACCATAATTTCTATCCATTTTCATCCAATTTTTCAATAAAGAGCCGTGAAATGATGAATATGCCCTCCTATTTAAATTAAAAAATTAAAGAATTAATTGAAATCATAGTCCCGAAATTTTTTAAAATGTGAAAACGAGTCCCAAATCAATTAAACTAGAAATCAAATATTATTTTTTTTAAAAAAAAGTGCAAATGAGCCCAAATAAATTATTTGAAAGTTAGAAATTATTTTTTATTTCTTTTTTTAAAAAAAAAGTGCAAACGAGGAGAGAGAATTTTTTTATTTTAATTTTTTAATAATTTATTTACGACTTTGCACTTTTTAAAATAAAAATAAAAATTGAGAGTATAATTGCAATTAGTTCCTTATTTTTCTTCTCTTTTCTTTTCTTTTCTTTTCTTTTCTTTTCTTTTTTTTTTAAATATGAGGGTATATTCGTTATTTCACATATTTTTATAAGAAATTGAATCAAATTGATGATTTTTGCAATGAAAGTTGTAAATATGGGTGAAAATACAAAAAAATAAAACGTGAGGACATTTTGCAAAATAAACTCCAAACATAAGGATGTTTTATGCTAATAACCCTAAGCTACGAGTGGTGGGGATTAGAAAAGGAAAGTAGTTTCGAACGAAAATTATTTTTTTTTTTATCTTGTAAGTCCTTAACTTTCATCTCATTCTTACAATTAACTTTCAATAAATTAACATATCTTATCTCTAACGATGGCTTCTGTCCAAAGATTCTGTTATCGTGTTATTAAATTTTTGTAATTATTGTTTATTTTAATTATTTAAATATACAAGGAGCAAATAAATATTTTTATTCATTTCTAATGAATTTTTTCTCTGTTATTAGGGACAACATATGCTATTAAATAGAGTTTGAGGACAAAGTTGATACAATTAAATGAAGTGTAGTTACCAAATAAATTGATGTGACAGTGTTATCAGGATGCGAATATGAGTGTTACAAATGAAAGATGGTGAACATAAATGACGCGTCTATGAAAAGTTGGTGACGGGAGCAATTTACCCAATTTTTATTTTTAATCATAGTAGAAATTGCATGGATGGTCTCATTCTATGCTTGGATTACCACTCATGTTCTCAAATAGTTTTGCTTGGTCAAGCGTATAATCATGGGCGGGCCTAGGGGTATGTTTCCCTGAGGTATGTTTTTTTGGACGTAAATTTTCGATTGTAAAATTTCTCCCAACTTATTTGCAAGTTCGATTGTGCCCCCTAATTTTTATGGTTTGCGTCCGCCCCTACGTATAATAATTAACTTAATTAACTATTTTTCATTAAATTATTAAAAAGGAAAGAGAGAAAAATGCAATTCTGATTGTGGACACCTTATGCTACTCAAGTTGTATCACCATTAATAAATGTCAAGATTTTTTATATTAGTAGATGTAAGAATATTGAGTTGAAATTTCATAATTCTTTATATTTGATAAACACTAAGACATGTAACAATTTCAAGGGCCTCTACATACTCTACAAAGTAATAGCAGATGATAGAGACACAATACAATTTCATGATTTCAACTAGAGTTTGTAACAGTTTCAAGTGCCTCTACATACGCTTACAAAGTATCAGCAGATGATAGACACAAGGTACAGTTGTAATAAATTTTCACATAATAATTTTTATTATCTATTTTCACTTTTTAATTATATGCTTCGAAGGAAGATCTGATTGTGAAATCGAAAATTGATCTATATTCCCAATATTCATGCTATTGGCTCAAGTAAATGCTCCTTGCCAACACACATTTCTTACCATTTGGATTGTAGACATCTCCAAATTATTGAATTATCCAACACCGTAAGAAATCCCTCCAAGAAGAATTTTAACACGATAGATGCGAATTAGAAGAAAATTAATTAGGTAGTTAATGCAGGAGAAACTATCCATCAACATTTAATACTACATATTACTAATGACATAATTAAAGATCACTAATCAACATAAATAATTAAGACTAGCAAAACAAGCATCAGTGTATAGAATAATTATCTAAAAGCACTTGAAGTCCAAGCAGAAGCAGTATATAAGCTAGTGTCCT